GATCTTTCCACTTTCTGGTATCTTCTTCAATTTCTTTCTTCAAAGATTTAAGGTTCTTGCCATACAAATCTTCCACTTGTTTGGTTAAAGTTACTTTGAGATATTTTATGCTATTTGTGGCTATTGTGAAGGGTGATGTGTTAGGAATGTTTCTTTGATTTCTTTCTCAACCCATTTATCAGCTGTGTACAGGATGGCTACTGATTTTCTTTTTCTTAGTTAATCTTGTATCCTGCTACATTACTGAAAGTGTTTATGAGTTGTAGAAGTTTCTTGGTAGAATTTTTGGGGTCGCTTATGTAAACTATTATATCATCAGCAAATAGTAAGAGTTTGACTTCTTCTTTTCTGATTTATATCCCCTTGATCTCCTTTTGTTTTCTTATTGCTCTAGCTAGGACCTCAAGAACTATATTGAATAGATATGGAGAGAGTGGGCAACCTTGTTTTGTTCCTGATTTTAGTGGGATCGCTGGGAGTTTCTCTCCATTTAGCTTGATGTTGACTGTTGGTTTGCTGTATAATGCCTTCATTATGTTTATGTATATTCCTTGTATCCCTGCTCTCTCCAAGACCTTTATCCTGAAAAGATGGTGTATTTTGTTGAAAGCTTTTTCAACATCTAATGAGATGATCATGTGGTTTTCATTTTTCAGTTTATTTATATGGTGGATTATGTTGACAGATTTTCGTATGTTGAACCATTCCTGCATTTCTGGGATAAAGCTGACTTGATCATGGTAGATGATCATTCTGATGTGTTCTTGGATTCAGTTTGCCAGTATTTTATTTAGTATTTTTGCATCAATGTTCATGAATGAGATTGGTCTGTAATTCTCTTTCTTAGTAATGTCTTTATGTAGTTTGGGTATCAGGGTAATTGTCGCATCATTAAAAGAGTTTGGCAATGTTCCTTCTGTTTCTATTGCCCCGCGCTCGGCCTCGCCAGCAAGAACGACGCGGGACACTTAGGATTCTTCTGCAGTAAAGCTTTATGCGTCTTGAGAGGGAGAGTATAAGCTTACATGGCGGAGACCCAGAATGAGGGGAACCCAGCCCTTATAAAGGAAACAGTCCTCGCTTCTGACGTGTCACTCTTGGATTGGTCCACTGCCCATTATCCCAGATGATGCCTCGGGAGTAGGCAGGGACGCAGCGGTAGAGAGTTACCAAGCACGTGCGCTGGGATTAAAGGCGTGTGCTACATCACCTTGAACTCATAGAGGTCTGCCTGTCTCTGCTTCCCAGGCATTGGGTCCAAAGGCGTGTACTACCACGCCTTGAGGTCACAGAGGTCAATCTGCCTCTGCCGCCCAGGCATCAGGACTAAAGGCGTGTATCGCCACACCTTGGGGTCACAGAGGTCAATCTCTACCTTTGTTCCTTGAAGCAATGGAGAATGTGGTCCGGCCCTCCACATATCCCCCTTTTTTTACTTCTTTGCAGAAAGGCAACTCCCTCAGAAGGCAAAGATAGAGGCCGCACTTCCCAGAGCGAAAACATTACGATGGGCTTGCACGGAATCTGCCCCTAGGTTCATGACACCTGGAACCTATCCGGCCTGCCCTCTGCCATTTTTCTGGGAAAGGGAATATACGACAGGAAACCCTTATGCAGGATGACATATCTCTCAGAGAGGGCCATTCTCTGTGCGATGCTCTTCAGCTCGACAACCTTCAGGGCTAACTAAGCCAAGCACTCCACCCTGTGCAATGGACCATTGTCCTAGGGGTGCAGGAGCTGGTTGGCATAAACCTTACTGCTTCAGCATAGATAACCACACATCGGTAGAGGCCCCTGTTTCAGGGCAGCCAACGCTTGTGCAATAACCACTTTGTCCCTACGATTTTGGGATTTGAGTCAGCAGACCATCCAGAGGAGAAACACTAATCCATAGCATAGGACTGTTCCAAAACATTTCCACCCCCACTCATTCTTTGAAGTAGGGGAATGAGAGACACGGCCCAGGACTGGAGTCCTACGGCCAAGCTTATAAATCATCTCTAGGACGGTAGGGAGGGGGCCCAGAGTCTTATTGGTTGTAAAAAATCGAGGAGACACCGCCATCCTATGGCTGACTGGTAACAGCTTCAGGAAGGCTGAGAGTGTCCTCCATCGGTGCTCTGTCATCCATCCGCAAAATGGCAGGAGGAACAGCAGCCAGGTCCTCAGGCGAATCCGTGTGTTGTGGATCACTCTTCACTGTTCGGGTCAATCGCTCTGGCAGCCAGAATGGGCTTTCTTGATCCTGTGGGAAGACACAAACAGCTCCCCTGGATCTCAATAAAATGGGATCCGGGCCTTTCCATTCATTAGAAAGCACATCTTTCCACTTAACCAAATCTTTGGGCCGCTGCGGATCCGAACAATGTCGTGTTGCAGCATTTTGGCCATTATCATCCAAATTTAAAAAATTTATGGTGAACAGAGCCATGGCAATGGCCATTTTTGGCGTTGGGGGCAACTCTGTCAATATTCCCCCTTTTTTTTGTTTTTAAGAAGAACTGGTATCAGTATAGGCCATGCCCTTGTCACTGTTTAGAAGGTCATCCTTGCTATTTTCTCATTAAGTTTTTTAGTTTAATTTTTTACAAGATAACTAGACAATTGCTTAATAATTAGTCATTGTATCTGGGATCGCAGGGGCGCAATTCTCCAGCTGCATCAAGAAGTCTACCAGAGGCATGTTGGAAACTATGGGCTTTTTTGCCACAGTCACAGATTTAGCCAATGACCCAATCACCTTAAAAATCTAAGGGCTTTTTGCATCTACCTCCCTGTGGATCCTGAAACATTAGATTTAAAACCAAATAGTTATAAGCTGCCATGTGGTCACTGGGGAATTGAACTCACAACCCTTGGAAGAGCAGGCAGCATTCTTAGCCCCTATGCTATCTCTTCAGTTCCTTATTCAGATGGAAAATCTCTCGGGCTAGTAGCCGGCATTGTTTGCCCCACCCGTTGCCCCAGGTTATTGGTCCACCTTTGTTACCTAGGATCAGCACAGCTCAGCTCAGCCAAGTGGATCAGAAGCCACTCCAGCCTCAGAGCCCCTCACAGTTTCAGGCACATTGCAAGCCTTCTGGCCTGGCAGCTTGTGGCACCTCTCTCATTCTCAGTACTGCTTTGACACCCTCCAGGCCAGGCACCGACTGAGCCGGTGCGACGTGCCCCCCACCATAGCCATCCAGCAAAGCTCCGCTCCAACCACCCTCCAGCCGCAGCTGCATTCATTCTGAGTCCAAACTCGGTGCACGGAGTAAAGCAGAACTCAGTAGCAGGCTTGCTGCTCTGAAACCACTGTAAGGACCTCATTTAAACAATCTTTTAGGGAATATGGGCGTCGTTAGTCTCTCTCTGACTACTTCCTGCTGAATTGGGCCGTTGCATTTTGGGGGTATACACTACAACATTTCAGGAGGTCTCGGTGATTCAAACCACATAAATCTCAAGTACACCCTTAGGCTCTCATTTTCTGTGGAGATGAAAACAGAACCTCTTTTCCAAAACATCATATCCTTAGGCAAATTCAAATATCTTTCTCCTGTCCGGTACACAAAAGACAACACAAACAACATAACATAAAGCTTTTGACCTTGTAGGTCAGTCTCCCCCATTCTTAGAACCACCGGGGGGTCCTTTTTTCTTATTTCCTTTTCAGTCTCCCCCATTCTTTGAACCACCGGGGAGTCCTTTTTCCTATTTTCTTTTTCTTACAGGCGCGCCTAACCTCTCACTGCACTCAGTTTCTGATATGCTATCCTGGACTTCCTCCAATACATTTTCTTCGTCTGCAACAACAGCCTGGCAGGATTTATCTTCTAAGCAATTTCAAAGTGATAAGAGAGCTGCTAAGAAGTACCAAGGCCTCTACAAAATCTTTCCAAGGTGGAGACAAGTCAAGCCCAAAATCAAAAAGTCCAGGAATAGTCATACCTCTCTGAGCAAACACCCTGCAGTTCTGAATCCTCCTTGTGTCCAAGGGATCTCCGGCGGTGCGAACAGTTGTCAGGGTCCCCCGGCGTCCCGGGGTTTCGAGCACCAGTTGCCCTGCGCTCGGCCTCGCCAGCAAGAATGACGCGGGACACTTAGGATTCTTCTGCAGTAAAGCTTTATGCGTCTTGAGAGGGAGAGTATAAGCTTACATGGCGGAGACCCAGAATGAGGGGAACCCAGCCCTTATAAAGGAAACAGTCCTCGCTTCTGACGTGTCACTCTTGGATTGGTCCACTGCCCATTATCCCAGATGATGCCTCGGGAGTAGGCAGGGACGCAGCGGTAGAGAGTTACCAAGCACGTGCGCTGGGATTAAAGGCGTGTGCTACATCACCTTGAACTCATAGAGGTCTGCCTGTCTCTGCTTCCCAGGCATTGGGTCCAAAGGCGTGTACTACCACGCCTTGAGGTCACAGAGGTCAATCTGCCTCTGCCGCCCAGGCATCAGGACTAAAGGCGTGTATCGCCACACCTTGGGGTCACAGAGGTCAATCTCTACCTTTGTTCCTTGAAGCAATGGAGAATGTGGTCCGGCCCTCCACATTCTATTATGGAACAATTTTAGGAATATTGATATTAGTTCTTCTTTGAAAATCTTGTTGAATTCTGAGCTGAAATCATCTGGTCCTGGACTTCTTTTGGTTGGGAAACGTTTGATGACTGTTTCTATTTCTTCAGCAGCTGTAAGTCTGTTTAATTTGCTTATCTGGTCTTGATTTAATTTTGGTAAGTGATATTTATCCAGAAAGTTGTTCATTTCCTTTAAGTTTTCCAATTTTGTGGAGTACAGGTTTTCAAAATATGACCTGATGATTCTCTGGATTTCCTCTGTGTCTGTTGTTATGTCCCTCTTTTTATTTCTGATTTTGTTAATTTGGATATTCCCTCTATGCCTTTTGGTTAGTTTGAATAAAGGTTTGTCTATTTTGTTGATTTTCTCAAAGAACCAACTCTTTGTCTCATTGAGTTTTTGTATTGTTTTGTTTCTATTTTGTTGATTTCAGCTCTCAATTTGATTATTTCCTGCCATCTAATTCTCTTGGGTGAGTTTGCTTCTTTTTGTTAAAGTTTTCAAATGTTCTGTTAACTCACTAGTGTAGGATTTTTCCAGCTTCTTTATGTAGGCATTTAATGCTATGAACTTTCCTCTTAACACTGCTTTCGTTGTGTCCCATAAATTTGGGTATGTTGTGTGGTCATTTTCATTGAATTTTAGGAAGTCTTTAATTTCTCCCTTTATTTCTTCCTTGACCCATTTATTATTCAGGTGAGCATTGTTTAATTTCCATGTGTTTGTGGGCTTTATGGAATTAGCATTGCTGTTGAATTCTAGTTTTAAGTCATTGTGATCCAATAAGATACATGGGATTATTCCAATTTTTTTGTATCTTTTTAGGTTTGTTTTGTTATAGAGTATGTGGTCAATCTTTGAGAAGGTTCCATGAGGTGCTGAGAAGTTATTCTTCTATGTTTGGATGGAATATTCCATAGATGTCTGTTAAGTCCATTTGAGTCCTTACATCTGTTAGTTCCCTTATTTCTCTGTTCATTTTTTGTCTGACTGACTTTTCCAGTGGAGTGTTGAAGTCTCCCACTATTAGTATATGGGGTTTAATGTATGATTTAAGCTTTAGAAGTGTTTCTTTTACATATGAGGGTGTCCTTGTATTTGGGGCATAGATGTTCAGTATTGAGATTTCCTCTAGATGGATTTTTCCTGTGACTAATATGAAATGTCCTTCTTTGTCTCTGTTGATTGATTTTGTTTTGAAGTCTATTTTGTTAGATGTTGATCGAGGTTTCTGTCCCACCAGGTCCCGCAGTCCTTAAGTCTCAAAGAAATACACAGAGGTTTACATTAATCATAAACTGGTTGGCCTATTAGCTCAGGCTTCTTATTGACTCTTTCTAATATCTTATATTAGCCCATTATTCTTGTCTGTTTTAACAATGTAGCTTGGTACCTTTTTTGGCAGGGCAGTCACATCTTGCTTGCTTTGTGTCTGGCTTCCTCGGTGTCTGGGTGACAACTGCAGATTGCTTCTTTTCTCTTCCCAGGATTCGCTTTTTCTCCTTGCCCTGCCTCTACTTCTTGCCTGGTCGCCTCACCTATACTTCCTGCCTGACTACTGGCAAATCAGCATTTATTTAAAATACAAGTGACAGGGTACAGATCATTGTACACTTATATATTAAGATAGCTACACCAGCTTGTTTGTTAGGTCCATTTGATTGGAAAAATTTTTCCCAACCCTTTACTCTGAGGCAATATCTGTCTTTGATGTTGAGGTGTGTTTTTTGTACGCAGCAGAAGGATGGATTCTGTTTTTGTATCCAGTCTGTTAGCCTGTATCTTTTTATAAGTGAGTTGAGTCCATTTATATTAAGGGATATTAATGACCAGTGATTGCTATCCCCTGTTCATTTAGTTTTTATTGTTGGTGATATTAATTTGTGTGTTTTTCCCTTCTTTGGGATTTGCTGCTGTGAGATCATCAATTGTCTGTGTTTTTATTGATGTAGACAACTTTTTTAGGTTGGAGTTTTCTTTCTAGTACTTTGTGTAGGGCTGGGTTTGTGGCTAGGTATTGATTAAATGTGGTTTTATCATGGAATATCTTTTTTTGTCCTTCTATGGCGATTGAAAGTTTTGCTGGGTATACTAGTCTAGGCTGGCATCCATGGTCTCTTAATGTCTGCATAATGCTTGATCAGGATCTTCTGACTTTCATTGTCTTTGTCCCACTACTTTTATAGTGATTTGAATCCTTCACTCTTACAAGGAAAAAGCTACAGATAGATTCTACATACCCCATGTAATGAATTAGAATCTTAACTGGAAACAGAAATCAATTATTTTCTTACCTCACTTTCTTTAGATTACGGGGTCTCTACATTTGGATCAGAAAGTTTTTTGGGGGGTCAGAAATCAAACCCAGAACCTCATACATGCTGAGCAAGTTCTCTACCACTGAACTATGTACACAGCACTCAACATTTCAGAAGCCTTAATTCTATAGAGTTTTTGTACTTCATAAACAGCAGAAAAAATTCCACTGACTTTGAGAAGTGAATATCTACATATCAAATCTAAATCTACTTTCAAAAACATCTCTGTATCTACCAGTTGTCCACAGCCTGCATTATACACAAAGTAAGATATTTGGTACTAAATAAAAATAGATGAGAGATGGATCACTTTCCGTGTATATCTCCAAGAAGCAGGTTGAATCTTCTTCATTTTTGAATGTTGAGCTGCTAGGTGGTCTGGTCTTCAAACTATTCTTTTGAAAGTAGGATTTTCACTGAGTTGTGTAGAAAAATTAAAGAAAAAAAACAGATTCTAGACTCACAGCAAGACTGGGCTAAAGAGTCTTTGACCATAAGCTGCCAGTTGTATATGAAATTTTAATCATCTATATTTATACTTTCAGCTGTGTTCAAAATAGTTTAGATTGGATAGACATTTATCTCATATTATAGTAATGTATATTTCACTTGTTGTAAGATTAAGCTGCAGTGGCCTACATTTAGTCTACAAATACACATATAAGGTGATTCGTATTACAAGCTGAACACACATTTAGGGAGCCTGCTTAACACTTTTATATGCAGAAATTAAATTTTAGCTTAAGGTACAATAACAGAGATGTGATTTTAATACCTGACTTATGTTACTTTTTCCCTTCTGTGTAAACTCTTGCGCTGTTCCAAGGATGATATTATAGCAAAGCTAACAACACCTTAACCTTTATGACCCCTCAGTTGTCCTTCTCAGATCCTAGTAGAGACCATTTCATTCTCTAACGAGGGCCATTTGTATATAGCATGTGGCTGTGTCTCATGGAGGCCATTCTTAGAGGCACAGCAGAGAGGTCAAAGGTAACAAAAACCAAAAGAAATAAAAGGTCAACTGTTTTGAAATCTAAACTCATTGCAATCCTGGGAAAGGGGGTACTTCCTCCCATGTAGTTTCCACAGCTGTACGAATGACTACCAGAGTCTTTGATGGCATAGCACCTTTTTATTAAACTTTATTAAACAGGTAGGTCATCTCCAGCTCCCAGCCAGTGTATAAGGCATATAATAGCAGGCACAATCCAGAGTGTCAAATACACTTAACTTATGTCACTAGCCCTGTTTTATCAGGGGGAAAGGATAGGGAGAGTTGTGGAGAAGGCAGAGACCGAGTAGCATGGTGGGAGGGAGAAGACAGTTTGGACCAGCAGACACTCGTGCTTTGTTATCGGGTGGTCCTCCACTACTCCCTCTTCCTGCTCTAAGCTAGGAGTAGGTGAAGTAATTGAATCCTCCAAGGTGCAATTGTGTTCTATTTTATTTTGTTTTGCTTTTGAGACAGGATTTCTCTGTGTAACAGTCCTGGCTGATCTGGAACTACCTTTATAAGCCAGGTAGACCTTGAACTCACAGAGATCCACCAGCCTTTGCCTCCCAAGTGCTAGGATTAAAATCATGTGCTACCACTGCCTGGCTGCAATATTTTTAACTAAAAACACTTATACAATATTTTCTGATCACATTTTTCCTCCTTTTAAACCTCTTCCAAACCATCCCTAGTTCTTCACCTATGTAACTCCAATACCCTTTCTTTCTCTCGAAGAATAAGAAAACAAACAGAAAAAAAAAAAAACACAAAGACTTTACACACCAAAATATACAAGAAAAAGATCAATAAGACAAAAAAAGTTTTTTGGTAGAGAAAAGACATATACCTAAATACCATTATGTTGGTCAACTACTCCTGGGCTTGGGGCTTACCCTGGTGTGCTTAATATACCCGATGAGATTCCATTAAAGACTACTCATTTTTCCTTTGTAAGCAGGTATCAAGTGCAGTTAGGGGTGGAACCCATGTCTACCTCCTGCTCTCAGTGCTGAGATAGGGTGCAAATTGTAAGCCTGGATTTAAATGGCTACCGATATAAGTATGTTCCCTCCCCTCTGCTTCCCGAAAGACAGAGTTTAATTGGGTTTCCTTGATGATGCTCAGTAAGGGAATCATCTTATTAATGTAGAGGCAGGGTAGCAAGATGACTCAGCAGGTAAGGGTGCTTCCTGCCAAGATAGAGTACCCAACAACCTGAGTTTAATCTGTAGAATCCATGTAGTTGAAGGACAGAACCAACTGCTGAGATTTGTCCTCTGACTCCAAATGTGCACCATCGCATGCCTGCACCCATGCCCTGCATAAATAAATGAACAAATGTGAGCACACACACAGAGCTTACTGAATGCATGCATCCTTCCCACATGGTTTCCTTCTGTACATGGTCTATAGCCCTGGGTGTAGCCCAACTAAAAAGTGCTTGTCAACCATGTTTACAGAGAATGATGAGGAGCAAGAGGAGCTGCCCTCTTTGGATAAACCTGGCTGGTACTCCCAAGGCAATGCTGCCCACCTTTATGAGCTTCTGAAGAAAATGACTGGCAAGCCTGAACCCAAGGTAATTTCTGATTGAAGCAGCGTCCTTGATGTCCACATGCAATACAAATGGTTGTATATCAGGGACCTTTGAGTGCCAGCCTCAGTGTCCCCTCAGGGTTCAGAAGAAGACTCACAGCAAGTGCAGGACTTGGAAGTATCTGAGGGTGAAGTGAACTCTCCACTACGTACTTTTCTGCATCAGTTTCTTTATTTTTCTCCTGCTCTTCTCTTCCTGTTCTGTAAAGTTTCCAGTTTAGATACACATGCAGAACAAAGGCAATTTTCTGAGCTTGGATGCCCCTTTATCTTTGAAGGTCTCAAACATGATCTACATGAAGGACTCCTTTCCTATCTGCATGTCCTGCCAAATGGACGACAGTTGCAGGGAGGTGACTTCTAATGTATCTAAGGAACAGAACAGAGATATGGCTGTGGGAACCAAGGTTTCTGGCTATGTGACCAAATTCTCTCATTGGAAGTCTTATGGGGTGGGGGAAGTCATCCAATAAGCAAAAGAAGAAGCTTGGCTTTTAAATGTCCACAGTCCTTGTGGGACAAATAGATTCAGTTATGAAGCAAGTCCCGGTATATATTCCGTATATCAGAACTAAATAGCTAAATGAAAATCCGTCTATATAACTACCTACAGATATATGTGCCCATAAGATTGATATGCAGTCGTGAGATTACATATACACATCACATGAGATTACACACTACGATGTAGGTATAGGGGAGACACCAAACTGCTTCAGCAAAAGTGAACAACAGCTTTCAGAGTCAGTGGTACTGCAGACCTTGTCTGGACAGACTTAATCCTCCATCATATAACCACACCTCTGGTGGGTAGACATCTGAACACTAGTTGCCTCTTGCTTCTCATGGCCTGTGATAATTATGAAGAGATTCATGGCTGTAAATGGTTACAGTTAAGTATCTCGGTGCCTCTGAGCATCTCTTCTTCCTCTTCTGACTAGATACACTTTGGTAGATATCCGGTCATTATCTGTGTCAGAAAAGCAAGGATTCCCAAGGGGCCATCTATGTAGGAAGTACATGACTCAGACATGAGATGCCTGAGAAATGGCTTTCTGATAACAGCTAATCAAACAATATTTTATACACAAAACAGGCAGTGACTGAAATGACAGTGACTTAGCAGCTTTCCCTTAAAGAATTGCTTGCATTTGATCCCTTGATCACATTGTCAACATTGGACATTGGTACATGTTTACCCACAGTCCTTTCCTTTACATGATGTATACCATAAGGAGCAGGAGAAATCATTGGATAGAGAATGGATCAGGGATTCAGTGGACAAGGGACCTGGATGAGGAGCCTCTGATTCTTACCCCTTAACCTGACACAATCTTTTTTTTGGATTGAGGGAGGGCTGTGGTCTGGATCAGTAGGGCTTTGCCTCAGAATGCCTGGGGAACTTTCAACTTTACATGCTGGAGCTATACATCCCTGAGTTCTGTTTGAGCAGATCCAGGGCACCCAGGGTTTTGGGTAAGCAGATCCAAGGAGTGTTCTTAATATAGGCAGTTCCTATAAGTTGTCAGTTTTAGTTATAGGGGCAGATTTAATTACAGATGTGTGAAAATACACAGACTCACTTCTTCATTAGGAAAATGAAATAAAATTGTTACCTTCCTGTTGACTGAGTTTTCTGTCCTGCCCAGTTCCCACAATCGTATAGCCCCCAAAAAATCACACAGAGGACTACATTAGTTATAAACTGGTTGTCCCATTAGCTCAGGCTTCTTATTAACTCTTATAACTTATATTAGCCCATTATTCTTGTCTATGTTAGCCACGTGGCTCAGTACCTTTTTCAACAGGGCAGTCACATCTTGTTTCTTCTGTGGCTGGGCAAGGACTGCAGAGGAATGGGCTTCCTTCTTCCCAGAATTCTCCTGTTCTCATTGACCCACCTATACTTCCTGTCTGGTTGTCCCACCTATACTTCCTGCCTGGCTACTGGCTAATCAGCATTTATTTAAAATATAATTGAGAGACTATAAACCATTGTTCCACACCACCTTCCTTCCATCTTCAACAAAGCTGTGACTCAGACAGGACAAATAACAGGTCATCCGAAGTTTATGTTGCTTGTGCCATTTCTGGTTCTCGTACCCAAATGCTTGTTGGGGGCATTTTTTCTATTTCCTGTGCAGTGGTCACCACTCTCACACCCATGCCTCATTCAGAATTTTCCTCCTGAATCATAGGTTGTTTACTTTGGTGACAGCATGCACTCAGATATTTTCCCAGCCCATCACTATAGTAACTGGGACACAGTCCTCATTCTCGAGGAGCTTCGGGGGCAGGACGTGGAGAAGGCTGAGGAAGCAGAGCCTCTGGAGAAGAGAGGAAAATATGAGGTAAGGATCCTGTCTGTCCATTTCTTAGGTGACTGAAAGCTGAAGTCTCCTTAGGCTTCCTGACTTTAGAGTGAACTGGGAATGGTGGCATAGACTACAGTCCCACCAAATGATAAATGGAACAAGAGGATCAGGATCTCAGGGACTAGCCTTGGCTTCCTAAGACCCTGTCCCCCCACACACGCAAAAAAATTGTTCTGGTTTGATTGAATGTTTCTGTAGTTCGTTTGAATAACTGTTATTTAATAGCTTCTGCCTAAGCAGATATCTGTAGCCAACTTAGTTGTATTGTCTGCTTTTAAGAACCAAGTATGTGCCGTCATCATTATATTGTGGATAGAGAGAGCTGCATAAGGTCCCCCCTCCAACAACTGCGGAGCTATAGGCTGTAAGAGAAGAGGAGTTGTTATTTCCAGTGTTGCCCATGTTCCAGTGAACAAACCCACACTCTTGCTCATGCAAGCAGCCCTAATTAAACTCGGTGGGTCATTTTTCAAGAAGACATGAAAGTCGAAGGGGACTTTATGGGAAGGGGGAGTTCAGGGGCCAGCAGAGAGGGAGAGGGATAAGGAGGTGACTATTATCCAGATCCATAGTACACATGTGTGAAATCCTCGAGGGCAAAATACCAAAAGGAAAAAAATATGATCTGTCTTGTCTCTCTCTGCCTAGATTTAAAAGTAAATTGCCTTTTCACAAATATCTTTTGACATAAACCTGAACCTCCTGACCGATTCAGTCCTGTTGCTGCAGTGCACAGTCTGTTGCGGTTGTTAAATGTAGTTTTTCCACCAAATGTCAAGCATGTACTCCATGAGAGACTCTCTTTGTATTCAGAAAGTTCAAAACTACCTACAGAAGGATCGAATTCTCTGTCTGTGATGACTTTATTCAGTCTAAACAACTTTTCAAAAATAAAGTTGGTTAAAAGCAGGGTCATTTCAAAGCAGATGCCGCGACCTGGAGCACGGGCTGGTACTGCGGTAGCGCGTTCTGCAATGGAGTTCGTTGTTCGCACACAATTTCTGTGATGGTTTGCAAGGCTTTCCAATCTGAGTGGAGTCCATCTGGAATTTGAGGATCACTTTTATCTCTCTCGATTCGTGGCAGAAAGCATAAGGACCAAGGACATCTCAAATGGAACTTGGCAAGCTTTTACACAGAACTTGTGATTCTGTAATCTGGTACATCAGCGGATTATCCACTCCTGTTAGAGCTGGGTGACAGATGAGCAGAAGCGGCAGATGTTTGTGACTAGCAAGGCAGAGTAGACAGGGAATAATTTTCTTTACCTTATAAACCAAAAACAATCAGCTGGTCAGAAGTCCGTTGTTGAAACTAGGAATTACTTGGAGACTATTGGTGCCATGCAGCCAGCCTTGTGTTTAAGGGGTGAGGAGCTCTCTCCTGCGGCTTCCTTTCTTACTGTCCTAATTTGTTTCTTCATTTAACCAAAAACAAATTTAAAAGAAATTGCATACTTTTTAGAATATTGTGTCTTTAAATTTAAGTTAAAAAAAATAATTTAATAGTGAACATTTTTAACAAATAAAAAAGAACTTACTGTCATTTAATTAGGGAAAGCCTGTCCACTAAATCCATAGTACAAATGTAATATAATATATTTAAAGAAAATGAAGAAAGAGAGACAGTGCATACGTGTGTGTGTGTGTGTATATATATATATATATATTTTACATGGAGACCTGAGCAGGTCCCAGTAGGGTCTCCTTCCAAGTTCTGAGCTAGACAAGGATACCTCTTGATTCCACCATGTAACAGAACTGGCTGTGAGAAAAGAGAAAAAATGTAGAACAAAATTAAAAGGCAATTTAGCAAATTGTCGTATTTTATAGTTATATGACCATCACGATATAAAGAATTAAGATATCAAAATTGATAGGAAAGTTCAGTCAGAGTGCTGGAGCTAAACTGGCATTCAAAAGCTAGCAGCTGTTCTTTACAACAGTCCTAGCCACAGCTGTAGAGAGAGACAAATTATCTACACAGACAACAAAATGAACCACTGTAGGAAGTAAGACCGCCTTCTGTAAAAATTCAGTGAGCTTCTATTCAGGATTTTAAATACAGACCTACATAATGGCAGTGATATACTTAATAGGGTGTGTTAGAGTTTATTTACAAGATCGATACAATACTATGTGAAGTCCTGGGAGGACTTGGGCAGGTTTTCTGCCATGAGAAAGCTCAACACTCACAAGACTAAGGAAGGGAAAATTTTAGCCATATTATAAAGCTTTACTAACTTTTTATTCTAGTACTCATGCCTGGGTACCAAGTGAGCATACCTAACCCAGAATTCTAGTAGTTCCAGACTCTGGATGCTGTGCTTTTGAAGTCTGAGCCTCACTGTGTAGCACAGGCTTGCCTCAAGCTTGACGTGCTCTAGCTTCGGCCTTTGAATTACGAGAGGTTATGGTTGTGCCACCACACTTGGCCGGCGTCTGGAATTTTTCTAACACCAGTATAATGTTGTTCAGTATTTAGAAACTTTAAATTCTGACATTTTCAGATGATGGGTGCTTGAGTAAAATATACTCAAATATTCTCAAAACTGAAAAATTCTAAAATCTGGGTAATCTTCCTGGCCCCAAGGATGTCGGGAAGAGCTATTCACTCTGTGTATAAAGTGTTGTAAATAGAGAACAGCATCCAAAGAAGGTCCCTTATCACATCGGTACAGAAGACAACAGAACTTTCCAGTCAGGACTGAAAGGAGGAAAAAAATACTTTGATCTCCTCCCTCATTCTTCACATAAAGTAACCTCTGGAGGGATTATAGACCTGAGAGTCAAACTACAGCTGTAATGTTTATTGAAGGAAAGTTTGAAAATACTTTTCTAAGTGTGGTAGTTTGAATGAGAATGACCCCCAGAGACTCATCCAAGCTGCTGAAACTGTTTGGGAGATTAGATTAGATTAGATTAGATTAGATTAGATTAGATTAGATTAATGAGGTGTGGACTCATTAGTAGAAGCATGTCCCTGCAGGTGGGCTTTGAAGTTTCATGAGCCAGAGCTCTGTGTCCTCATTGCAGACAAGAATGTGATCTCTTAGCTGCTACAGCATCATGCCTGCCTGCTACCATACTCGCCACCATGATGATCCTGGATTCGAAACTTAACTATGAGCCCCTAATATACTCTCTATAAATTGCCATGGTCATGATGTCTCTTCACATCAGTAGAAAAGCAGCTATGAGGGTAACTACATTGTAAGGTATGATTTCTCAAGTTAGAACTTGAAGGATAATAAGCAGATTACAGCGCTGGTGTGATGGCTCAGTCAGTACAATGCTTGCCTCAAAATCATAAGGACCTGGGTTTAATCCTCAGAACCCACGTTTCTAAAAAGCCAGATGAGGTGGCATGTGTTTATAATACCTGCAGGAGGTCGTGGGTTGAGGCAGGAAGGTCCCCAGAGTTTGCTGCAAGACACTCTAGCCAAATCAGTGAGCACCAGGTTCAGTGAGAGAACCTATCTCAAAAAATAAGGTTTAGAGCAAGCCAGTCCAGCAAGACACTCAACGTCAACCTCTGGCCTGCACACACATGCACACACGGAAATAACTATCTACCCTTTGGAAAATACATGCATAGTCTCCCTGTGAAAGAGTCTATGGTTAGCCCTAGAAATGGACATATTTATCTCAGTCTTCTCAGTGAAGGCTCAAAAATACTCTTTTAGAAAAAAATTAATATTCCAGGCATGGTAATGCACACCTCTAATCCCAGCGCTCGGGAGGCAGAAGCAGGCAGATCTCTATGAGTCTGCAGCCAGTCTGGTTTACATAGTAACTTCTAGGCCAGCCAGGAATACACAGTGAGACTAAAGATAGATTAGATAGATAGATGATAGATAGATAGATGGATAGATGGATGGATGGATAGATAGATAGATAGATAGATAGATAGATAGATAGATAGATTCTAGTAATTTTAAACTATTGTTGATGTATTGCTTCATTTTTAAGATATACTAAAAGCAATAAATAAATGTTCATGTCCTCAGTCTCTTCTAAAAAACAATACTGGAAAAATTCCAATGAAGTTTTTTTAATTATCCTTCAGTATAATAATAGTAATAATGATGATATGTAAATTAGGATTATTTTAATCATAGAGAAAATATCTTACTATATACTGTAAGATAGTTTTCAGATTGTGACAACTGACTATTTAGAGCCAATTCTAGGTCATGTTAAGGGGCACTCATCGTAAGGGAATGTTTTCTTTGTAAAACTGGAATGGGTTCCCAAACTGGGCTCATGGGATCCTATCGCATTTCCCTACTTACATTTGTTTACTGAGTGAAAACACTCTTGCAAGACCACTTCACTGCAGAGACCATTCTGATCATAGCTGTTTTTCCTGTTTCAGGCACCAAAGGTAAAGCCTCTAAATTCCTTATCTAATAAATGGGGCTCGTATTTTATTGACTCAGTCTCGAGACGAGGGAATGCAGAAGACGCCATGGTTTATACGTGGTCCTCGAGGAGAATCAGCACCTACAGCACTATTGCAATTCCAAGTATTGAGACAATTGCAGGTAATGGGGATACCTGGGAAGCTTCCCTGTCCAAAATAGTAACTGTTGGAGGCATTGTCTTAAAAGATGGTTCCCAAGACATTTTTATTTTTGTCCTTTATTTTTGAGATTATAATTTAATTGCATCATTTCGCACTTCCTTTTCCTCCCAAGCCCTCTCATATACCCCTGTTCTCTTTCAAATTCATGTTGTCTTTTTCATTAATTGTTGCATCCATATATGTACACACACACACACACACACACACACCTAAATATATCCTTCTCAGTCTGTATAATGAGTTATTTTTCAGTGAAAAGAACTTCTAGATATACACCTTAGGTGAGGACCATACACACAAACACACACACACACACACACACACACACACACACACTTTTCTGGAGCCAGTTACAAAGGCTGGACACTTTTAAAAAAAATGTGTTTGGAGGAATAGGGTACAGGTTGGGAGAATTACCAGGACAAGATGCTTAGGAAGCCCAGTAAGATGAACCTGGCTTTGGGCTGCTTCCCCACCACCACCCCAGAGTCCACTGAGGTTGAGTAAACATTTCAGTAACTCGTGTAACTTACAAGATAGGAACTAGAAGAGATAATGGGCCTGGTGAACTCCTTCAGTCCCTGTTGTAAGGATGAATTAAGGTAGGGTCTACATTTTCAGAGGCTAAAGCTCAGCTTCAGACAGCTGAATAGCAACAAGTCATTAGTTCCTCCATCCATGGTTAATCCTCCACATACACTTGGTTGAAATGAGTGCCCATTCTCTTTTGAGAAATACATTATTCTGGGAGTCAAATGCTTCCTTCAAACAAATGTAATCCAGGCAGTGGTGGCACATGCCTGTAGTCTCAGCACTCTGAATGCAGAGGCAGGCGGATCTCTGTGAGCTCAAAGCCAACCTGGTCTAAAAGAGCTAGTTGCAGGACAGGCCCCAAAGCTACAGAGAAACCCTGTCTTGAAAAAATAAAATTAAAAAATTTAAAAAAACAAAGCAAAGCAAAAAAAGACAAATAAACAAACAAAAAACCCAACAGAAAAACTCATGTAATGTATAGCCCAAAGTGAACAATTGGCAGGAATATGGTCTCCTAAGAGCACAAAAATTACAACAAAAACAACCAACTATAGAAAACAAAGAAATGAGACATTTTGTAGAGATGTAAAAACTAAGAGGATGGAAATTCTTAATTAAACCTTTCCAAATAAAAATTGATTTGTAATGAATAGGCTTCATAGCTGATTAGACACAGTAGACGGTGAATTGGTGTCCCAAGAAATAGCTCAGAGGAGATGTGCAGCAGCTGGCAGTGCAACCCAGCGTCAGAGAGCGCCTGCCTGACACGTGCCTGGGTCTGGGTTCGGTCCTCAGCACTGTGGGGGGGAGCTAGGCAGGAAGGAAGTTTGGGTGCAGAATAAAGCACCCCCAAGTAAAAACCATAGGAGACTCAAAAAAGCCTAAAGGAAACATAAAGGTAAAATGGAAAGGGATGAAGATTTTTGTAACTGGGGACCCAAGAGTAGCTATAACCATATGAAACAAACAAGACACCTGGGGAAACATTCGTTATTAATATGAGAGGTAACAACTTCTTGCTGGTGTCTCAGTTCTCATGAAAATAAAGTAACTGAAAGTCTGCAGCACTCGGATTGGAAGTCTTTCCCTGTTTAATTGAGAAACTGCTCAGAAGCCCGCCTGCTGTATAGAGGTGTGTGCTTTCTGTGTGGAGTCTTACTGTCAAGTGTCCTTTTAAACTCGGCAAAGGGAGAAAACTGTAGAATTTAGTCTCTGCCCTTCTCTTGCCATGGGCTCCTAGCCACTCAGTTCTGTCTCTGCAGCACTACAAGACTGCCCAAAGTCCCCGGCTTTCCTGTTCCTGGTAGCCAGCCCAGCCTCCAGCATGAATGCATGGCAGAACATGGGCTTTCCTCTTCTCTCATTGATCTTCCTGGGTACCATGTGTCCTTAAGTGTTGGTTGTCCCTTCCGGGCCCCAGTGACTCCACTCTGGTGTTTATCAGTGTCTGACAACTCTACTTCTTTCACATCCAAGTTGAAGCCTGGATACAGGTTTGAGCTTCACATTCTTGGATTGGAGCTGATAGTACCAATACCTGAATGGTTATGAAAATTGTCAAGATATGTGGTTATGAATAAGCCATATTCATAACCTAAGCCTAAGGCTATTCATATAATAAGCCTAAGAAAGTTGAAAAAGGAATTTCCATTCTAAAGTTCACTTCTAAAAAAATTGGAAAATGACCCCTCAGCTGTCACCTCAGTGCACCTCTCTTTTTCTTCTTTAATGTATTTAATTGTGTTGTTTTGTGTCTGTCTGTCCCGTGCCTGTAGGTGCCTGTGGAGGCCACCTGGTGTATGTGCTTGGACTGAACTAGGGTCCTCTGGATGAACAATGGAAGCTCCCCAGCCCTGCCTTTCTTATTCCAAAAGTTTTTCCTCTGCACCCTAGGAGAGAACTTAACAGGGCCTGCTTCTCTCTGAGGAGCTAGTAAGCAGGTCAAACAAAACTGAAAGGAGCTCTGTTTCATGGCTGGGAAAAGGGAAGAGGGTTGTTTGTATCTTATTTGTTCTGATGTTGGAGACGCCTCCTCACAATGTAACACAGTAATCACATTCTTAGGAACAAGTTGGGTCTCCTACAGAACCCTAGCTTGATTATGTCAGCCACAGACTCTGTAGTTAGACAACATTGTATTGCTTAACTCAGAATGAGAAAGGCAACTCAAAATAAAGTATAATGGTCCTAAAATATTTTAGGACTCAAATCCTGCTGGTTTCTGTTGAAGTCCCCAGAGCTATTCTGTTTCTCTGTGTTATTTTACATTGTAGGAATGTGTTCATTTTTGTTCTCTGCAAAAAACTTTTGTTCCGCAGTTGGAATAATATAGCTGATATAGTGGACTCAGGACAGAATGTAAGAGAAAACTGCTACAGTAAGCGAGAATCAGGAGAAGGGGGTTCTTTTCTATTTTGTTCCTAGTAGTCAGGTACCACCAGTGACTTCCTACCACAGAGAGGGAACAGTTTCCTTCTCACTGACTCGACAGTCTCATGAATTGCTAGTTTGATCTTCTTTGGTTTTGGCCTTAGTTTGGCTATTCTATACACAGATGAATGCATGACCTGGGGGAGGGGGGTGACGTGCATGTGTGCGTGGTGTGTGTGTGTGTTTACGTGCATAGCTACATGTGCACTTGCACATGCATGCTTCAGGCAGCATCCACCTTTCCCTTTCACAGAGCTGGAACTCACCGAGTAACCAAGTAAGATAGGCTGGCTAGTTAGTGAACGAGCTAGAGAGCCTGGCCTCCCCAACAGTGTTGTACAGCTGTGCACCGCTGCACCCAGCTCTTCAGAGTGGGTTCTAGGGATCCAGCTAGGGTCCTTGTGTATGTGACAAGTACTTTACCAAATGAGCCACCTCCCGAGCCGCATGTTTATTTTTTTAATTTCTTTTTAGTGAGGTGTGTATAACTGTGCACACACACATATGTGTGGGTCTCATAGAGGCCAGAAGAGGACTTCAGATACCATGGAGCTAGGGGCATAGGTGTTAGTGAGCTGCCTAATATTAATGCTGGGATCCAAATGCTGATCCTCTTGATGAAGCAGCAAGCGTTGTTAGCCCCTGAGTCATCTCCCCTATTTTCTTTTCTTTTTCTATTTCTTTTTCTTTTATAAGGCTTATTTTTATTACTTTAAATGATGTGTGTCTGTGTAAATCTGTGCCTCTGCTGGTATGTGCAGTGGAATGCAGGGGTCCACATGGGCATCAGATCCCCTTGGCGCTGTAGTTACCATCAGTGTGAGCCAGTTAATATGGACTCTGGAAATCACGCTCGACTCCTCTGTGAGATCAGTACATGTTCCTAACCACTGAGCCATCTCTCCAATCAACCCTACTTTTTAAGGTCAGGGTTTTTAGGGTCAGGGAATAGAGGCCAGGAGAGGGCATCAGATCCCTGAAGTGGAGTCACAGGTGTTTCTGAAAAACATGAAGTGGATGCTGGGAACCAAATTCAGATCCTCAAGAAAAGAGCAGCAAATGCTTTTAACTATGAAGTCATCTTACGGAACCCCATATTTCTTTATTTTTTTAAGATTTATTTATTCATAATGCATACAGTGTTCCATCTACATGTATGTGTACAAGACAGAAGAGGACACCAGATCTCATTATAGATGGTGTGAGTCACTATGTGGTTGCTGGAAATTGAACTCAGGACCCCTGGAAGAACAGCCAGTGTTCTTAACTCCTGAGCCATCTCTCCAGATCAAGCCCCCATATTTCTTAATAACCAATTTTTGTTGTTACATAAGCAGCATAGATGTTTCACGTTACTTAGTTAATGTCACTCTTATTAAATACCCAGAATGCAAGGCGCCCGACACTGACTAGTGCTGCATGTTCTTCTCTTCGCAGTAAATGTGGCTTTTTCTGACATCAGGAAAGCAAGGTTTCTTCTTCCTATCCAGCAGCAGTTTTTTTTCCGGTAAAGACTGACTGCTTGAGTCTTGATGCCTCTCTCTCAGTGGCACCTAATATAAAGTAAAATTTGGGCAGAGTTCTGGTGATTATGTGTAGTATGTGTAAATATACATCATATTGTAAATCTTATGTGCTTACTCTATACCCTGTAACCTTGGTACCAACCTATCTGTAGCACAAGTATTAAAATTACTGATAAAATAGAAAGACTGATTTGTTTTATTCCTTTGTTTTCATAGCACTATATTATAATTACATCATTTTCCCCTTTCCTTTCCTCCTCCCACATCCTCCCATCTATCCCTCCTTGCTCTCAAATTCATGGCTTCTTTTTTCATTAACTATTGTTATATGCATATATGTGTGTACATACGTATTCCTAAATATATAGCTACAAACTACTCAGTCTGTATAACCTGCTTGTATGTGCCTGTTCTCAAGGTCAACCACTTGGCACTGGATAATCAATGGTATGCTCTTCCCTGGGGAAGACGGTGCCTTCCACCCCAGAATTCCTTAGGCATCTGTAGTTCTTCATATAGTGTAGAAGCTTCATGATCATTCCCCATCCACTTTAATGTGACTATTATTGCTGTTCTTATTCTGCTCATGAACACTGAATTTTAATCTGTTTGTATTTATGAAAGGAGTTTGGTGGCTTATAAAAAGTCTTTATTTTTTTCCCTCCCTCACAGAGTTACCCCTGGACTACAAATTTACAAGATTCTCTACAAACAGTTCAAAGACAGCTGGTTACTATCCATCGGTCCATTATACCTTGGGTTCTCAAGACACAGACAGCAAAATACTTACTGAAAAATGAACCAACCATATGTGCAGCAGACATATTGCTAAAAAATGTTAAATTTCAAAAAATGCAAACAATTTATAGGAACAATTTTTCAATGAAAATTGACCAAATGGGTACTTGCTAATCTATCTTTTTAAAATATATATAATTTTATATAAATCATTTTAATGTTTAACAGTTGTTATAGAAAAAAATTGTAGTGCTCTAAACTAAAAAAGAATATGAATTAATATTTTCTATACTAGTAGTTTTGTGGATTCTCCCAAGATGATAACAAACACATATGCAAGCATATATTTATGTTATCTACCTAATCCAGAAGTTTCCAAAGCCTGCTTCACAGACTGATACGGAGCAACCTAGATCTTGAAAATGCAAATATGATTGCCTTGTTCCAAACCTGAAATCAGAAACTTTAGGAGTAGGACCCAGCAATGGCTTTTTAACAGGCCTTCCAATGAATGTGATTCTCAAATGTAATTTGAGACTTCATAAGTAAACCCTGTATTCCAAAATAAATTTGTTTGGATTAATACACCTGAATCTTCACATCTTTCCTATATCCATATTGAAAATGTAACCAGAATTCATAGTGAACACCAAAGTCTAGTGAAACTCAATTCTTTTTCCAAGCTATCAAGCTTTTTGCTCTTTTTTCCCCAAAAATGCAGAAGTTAAAAGACATAATTTATTCAAATAACATAGCCTTACTTCTTAGTAATTTCTCCCGTTAGGAAGAAGTTAAACTTATTCAGCTCAGTTCCAGCTTTGTCCTTGGGAAGAGAGAGTAACGGCTGAAAGAAGCCCAAGTTTATTCCTCCGCTCCAGGTTAGGGGAGGTATGTTCTGTGCAGTTTCCATTAGTTATGTTAGTAACTTTGCTTCAGATCATGTTCACACAAGATGTTTAGATTCAGTTGATATTTGTAAGTTCCTGGGTCCCCTTTTGCCGGTTAGCCTCCCTGTCTATAATAGAAAGGACTACAAAACATTATCATTATTTTTTTTCTTGGAATTTAGCATATTAACATATGCATTGAAAATCTATTTTCTTAAAATTTGTAAATGTTCAGATGAATTCCAAAGTGTACTATGAGGATGCTTTTCTCAGGGTAATTAAAAGAATAACTTTTTTTATGATCTGCATCTTTGATGTTGTTCAATAAGTATACATATATAAACAGTGACATATTTGATATCCAAAATGTCATTTGAGTGTTCTATTAAGCATGCACAATCGAGCTTAGGGCCAAATGAAAGATGCTATCTATTGTAGGCTTTAAGTAGAGAGTTCACTTTGCTTTAAAATAAAGCTGTTCTCCCTTCTAGATGTTTCTTGTGTTACTGGACAAGAATGCTTATTACTTTGTGTGTGTGTGGGTGTGTGCATGTGTGTGTGTGCTTTTCCTCTGCCCTGTATGTCCCATGAATTAAACTCAGGTCAGTCACCACACTTGGAGCAAGTGCCTTTACCCACTGAGCCATCTTGTGGCCTAAAAACTGAGAAGCCCAAAATTTAAAAATTAATTGTACTTTTTTTTTTTTTTTTGATCACTAAAGAGTAGAGGAAAGTAACTTCAAATGAAAAGTCCTTTCCCAGGTCCCACGTGATGACCTTGACCTTGACCTGACCTCACCTTTTTTACCTCCTAAAGAAGAGTCGGAGTTCAGAGAACTCCTCCTCACACCCACTGACTTGTCACTGCTGACTCTAGTGAATGCGTCTTTAAGCTACATTCCAGTTTTATTTCATGGTTCATAAAAAGTGCCAGTGTTTCTCAATGGATAGGAAAGGTAAACACGGGGCTGACGAGATGACTTTGTGCCTGTTGCCCAAGTCCGATGACCTGAAACCCGTGTGCAGGTGCAGAGAAAGAACTGGCCCCACTCCTTGTTCTCTGACTTCTGCACACATGCTGTGCCATTCTCGTGCCCAAATAGGCACAATGATAAAAATATTAAATTTTAAAATAGGGGGAAAAAAGAAAAAAATTGGGGGGAAGTAATATAAAAATTAAAACGAGGGAGCTGGAGAGGTGGATGGCTCAGCATTGAAGATACTTGCTGCTCTTGCAGAAGACCTGGGCACCTCACAGCTGTCTGTAGCTCCAGTTCCAAGGAATCCGAAGCCCTCTTCTGGCCTCCTGGTCTCTATACGCACCAGGCACCCATACATAAAATGAATAAGTTTTTTAATTAAAAATATTAATGAAAAGCAGTTTATATCATTATTATTTATGTGTGTGCTTACTTGTCTGTATGTACACATGCATGCAACTGCCCTTGGAGGCCAGAAGAAAGCATTAGGTCCCCTGAAGCTGGTCTGTAAATGATTGTGAGCCATTAGATGTGGGTGCCAGGAAGCAAACAGGAGTCCTCTGCAAGAGTAACAGGTGCTCTTAGCACAGAGCTATCTTTCAAGCCTGGGTTTCTTCTTTCCTAGTTTCATGCACTAAAAAGCAGGGAACTTTCTAACATAACCAGTGGGTTTTTCAATGATCATTAAGGACCTGTACTGATCTTTATCACTCATATACTGTTGTCATTGGAAAGATACTCTTTGTGAGCCATCCTTGTTTCCATGTATGCTAACAGCGCCTCCTTTGATCTAAATCTTAAGGGTCTTAAAAGAGCCTCTATAAGAAACATCATGGCATGTGTGAATGTTAAATCATTTCCCTGCAAAGGTGAGGCACTTTGAAAGGAGCACTCAAAGCCGGGCAGTGGTGGCACATGCCGTTAATCCCAGCACTCGGGAGGCACAAGCAGGCAGATCTCTGTGAGTTCGAGGACAGCTTGCTCTATAGAGCGAGTTCCAGAACAGGCTCCAAAGCAGCACAAACCCTGTCTATAAATAAATAAATAAATAAATAGGGAGTGCTCAGGGGCACATACCTGTAATCCTGGCATGCAGGGAACAGAAGCAGGACAATCAAGAGTTGGAAACTAGCCTGGGCTGCACACATGATGACACCATCTTCAGCAGACAAAACCATTAACAGGAATACCCCAAATATGTGACTGAAATATACCTAGACACACTGGAAAGATTTCACAACTTCAGTTTGAGTGATAGTTTCCCCAGACACTGTTCCAGGAAAGTTTAGAGGGTAAATACATCCACATCTATAAACGGGTTATAAAAATGAACAACCAAATATTTTAGCCATCTAACCATAATTTGACAATGTACCAAGATTTCTGCTGAGTTAAAAACTACCAGGTAGCTGGCCAGTCGTTGAAGTTGCTGGCACCTGACATATTTCCTACATGCGTGTCTTGCTGGTAGGATTTCTGAGCTCGGAGAAAGCTTGCACATTAACTGTCTGTTGCGGCCTCTGCCTCTTTCCTATCCTAGATGTAGTCTGAGCACCACTGCATTCTGCCTTTGCTTTTTCAGCTTTAGTCTAACAAAGGTATTCCTCCTCCTGATGAGACGGCACCACTCACTCACTGCAGGTAATATGGCTTCCGTGCTGCTTAATCTACTGTGAAAGTTAGACTCCGACATCCTGTCGGCGTCACTGCCAAACAGCTGGTTCATTCCTACAGCCCTGCACCTGCTCCATTCCCTTTAATTTCTCTTTTTCTTTCTCAGTTTTTTAGAACTTAATTTCCTTCCTTTGATATAGCCTTAATACAAGATATATAAATATATAAATATGTATATATGTGGCATATATTCCATATACATCTTGTATTAAAACTGGATCAAAGGATGTGTGTGTGTGTGTGTGTGTGTGTGTGTGTGTGTGTGTGTGTGTGTG